TTAAAAAGAAAAAGTGCACCAGAATGGCATAGATATTCTCTATTCAAATGTATAATAATATGCTGTATATTTCACTTTGGTGGCTATGCAGCACCTATTGGCCCAAGGTTGCCTCTCAAGCTATAGAGCTTCACAATGGATAGGATTTGGGCTTAGGTTTGCAGAGACGAAATCATCGATTACTATGTGGCCCCAATCCTACGGGTCCAGAAATTTAATTACTAGCCTTTAACCACGTTAAAGTACTGATTTTCAAGGGTATCTCAGCGCAGGGGCCAAAAATAAAATTTCTGGACCCGTAGATCGATTGGAATTTAAATTTTAAGTAAAATCCGTCTGCAAATCATGTTCATACGTGCTGTTGTTGAAAAGTTCTATTCCAATCTCTTCAGACTGCCTGATTTGGCAGGGAAAACAGACTGATTTCGCATTTTTGGAGCAATAAATGCAATTGCTACATGGAAAACTCTCTGAATGGATTCATTCACTTAATTCAGTCAAACCCATTGCAAAATTTTTATTGAATTGGTGTTGTAGAGAGTTCAAGGTCAATGTCTCAAGAAATTGGGCCTGTGACGCTCTGTCACAGCATGTCACTGGTCATCACACGTTCCGAGGATTGTGCACCGCCATTAAAAGGAGTTTAGCTTTTCTTTTTCCAAGACTTTCTCACGCAAATCTCTGACTCAGGTCACAACCTGCCCAGCGTTTCTCGGCTGTAAGCCCCTTCGCGGGGGCATGCTCGCCGCGGGCATGAACTGCTGAGACGAGCGTTCTCTGAGGACACGATAACTCTCAGCGGGTCGCTCAGTCGGGAAACGGCCACGCAGGGGCGGGCTTCTCATTCCGAGTAACAGCCACGCTGGCTTCCTATCTAGTCCTACAGTTCCTGCCTTAAATGCCTTTTCTACTGCAGCCGCGCCCAGCTCGATGATGCCAATGTGCTCTCGAGAAGCCCCACGAGCCACGCTAGGTCGCCGTCGGCCTGATTCACGTCTTTTAGAAGGAAGGGACGCCAGCTTGGGTTGGAGAGCTGGGGAGCGAGAAGAACGGACGTTTTGACTTCAGTAAGTTAGTTACCTCCTCCTTCGCGCTCTGCCTTCCGAATCTCTTATCGACTTCCATCCATTTGACCTTTTGCGCTTGGCTGATCGCGTTCGTCCGATACTCAGGTTCTGATTTCACAACGCCCGCCCACCCCAACTCCCCTGACTTCAGCGATCGCACCGTTCGCGTTCACCGCACAACTCGGCCACTTGCACTCCTTCGCGCTTCGGCCCACTAAGGGATATTACTGCGCAATCCACCTGGCTAGGCTGCCTCGGTACGGAGCTCGTGGATCCAGTATCTTCTCCTCGCCAGCCACCGCGGAATACCGCAATCTAGGTCACCGCTGTCCGCCTGGTCATCAGCTTAAGCTTGAGTCAGAAAGCCGGAGAGCGGGGATAACCCTCTCGGTAAGTTATCAGTCTTGCGTTGCTTATTCATTCAGCTTTCCGTTCTCCCTTTCCTGGCCTCTGAAATCCTTTCCACGTTGCATCTCTTGGTCTTGTGCCTGGCTGACTGACCTCCTTCGTTACTCAGATTCTGGTTCCGCGACCCCTGCGCCAACCCCAGCTCGACGATCGCATCCTCTTGGCCAGTTACTACCGCTTGCACAGCCCCGCCGTTCGCACCCCTTCGCGCCGTCGGCCCACTAACGAGATGCTGACATTATCCTGCCCCTGGATTCAGCGTCGAAACCCAAAACCTGCTTTGTGGAATTTCTTCCCCGAATCGACAACCCGCCGTTGTCATTTTTTTGCATTTTTTATCCGTCCGAACTGTAAACCCTGCGCCTCTGATATACATTCTACGCCTTCGATCTTTTCGTGTCCGGCGTGGGTCGTAAATGGACGTCGTTCTCCTTTTCGTTGGACACGATTACCTCTTCCCCGCCTAATTGCAAATTGTAGCGAAGGTCAAGCGAGACGAAATGAAATTTTTTTGACTACGTACTTGAAAATTGAGAAGAAAAACCCACAGGAAATATTTCTGACAGGGAAATTCATCTATCAATACACACTGGTGACTTGTCCCATTGCCACTTTCCTAGAATAGCATATTCTTGTAACAGCGTCCAAGTTTAATTACAGCTGGTAGCTAAACATAATCACGACTGCAAGTAATCATTACAAACCCAGCTGGTTAGATCAAGACCGCGACGCCCTCCTCTGCAAGACCTCTTAATTGCCCCTTCTTGCTGCGATGTGCGATAACATGCTAGCAATGGACTCTTTTTCCTGTCTACTCACGGTGAAAAGAGTAGGACTTCGATGCAAATCATAGACTTCTTGGCTAAAATTGTCCCAGTCGTCGACGGACTGACGCTTGAAGCCTTGCAGAAACGCCAACGCTTCGTCGTAGATCCTCTCCGTATCGAAGGCACCCAAGGCCTGGGTCAAATTCGAAGATATAGGAAAGGATTCATTGGCACCGGCGAATGCAATCTACAAATTCAAGAAAAGGATCAGAATTGGGCGATAGCGTAAGTAGTCAAAAGAAAATGCACTATATGGATGCCCCTGGCGACAGTCTCAGCGTGTAGGCCCCACAACGGCAGGTCGATCTCAACTCTGCTTGAATTGAGTCCAAACAAGACCTGTCCAACTACAGGTGCAAGTATGCGCGTACGATTAACTTTATTTTCAAATACCTAAGATGAGTTTCAGTTTCGGACACTGGGAACGGCTCATTAAACGCTAACCTCTGATGGCGAAGAAAGAGCGACAGTACGCGTCTCTCTGAGAAGCCTGTACGCAGTCAGGAACGCTGCCTCCCAATTCTCCTTCCTCTCCGATGGAAAGATGCCGGAACCTTCCACCAGTGGCATCCATAAGGAAGAAACAGGTTCAACCTCTAACATTGCCTGCCATATCTGACTAACAGCGAGGAGCTTGACCGCAGCCTCAGTGGGGAGGTCCGGCCAGCTGGGGAATCCGCAGTGATTTCCATATAGGTAGAGTTCGTTGAGCGCAGTAGGGACATCCGAAAATAGTTGGGGGAATTTGTCCCGGAAGATGGCCTGAGAAACTTGACGGGCAAGTAAAGGAGTTATCGCAAGGCCAGTGAGCTTCTTCGTTAGCCTTCCTGTGCATAACGCCACGTCACGTCCACTCCATGCTCTCAAAACACCCCCTTTCAAAGGTACGGAATGGGCCCAGAGAATGCTTGAATGATAAGAAAAATCGCGATTAAGGGCTTTTAAGACGTCGCATGCAACTGGCCGGATGAAGTAGAGGTAAACCGCGATGTATGAGAACAACTTCTTGGGAAAGGCAACTAGCGTGGGTGCAAATTCTCTGTTGCGCTGTTTTGCCTTGGGGTGGGTAGCAATGAAGGTGTTGTCCACAATCCAGACATTTCGGTCCATCGATTCCGAACAATCAAAGCGAACGGACGATAACTGCCACCCACGGAAGCTAACACCGGTGGAGAGGACGAGGATATTTGCCAGGGAGTCAAGGGCCATTTGCTCTTGCTCCAACCAACAGTTGGCTTGACGAAGGTCGACTTGGATTTCGCCCTCTTTCGCAGATATATGGTCAAAAACCAACTTCCTCAGCTGACTTTGTACGGGGCCCATCCACCTGAGGTTTTGGACTTGTCGATGGGGTGCAAGTCTGATCCCCTCATCCTTGATTTTGCGCATCAACCTCATGGAATTCTCAAGGAAGTCAGCATCCGACATTGCCAGAGAAAGGACGGCGTCTCGAAAATTGGTGTCCGCTTCTTTGCACGCAGCAGCCCAAGCGCGCATATCTATTTGCTTCGGGGGAGCTCCTAGCCTCCCGAAGCTCCACAAATGGCCATCCCCCGATGAGTTGAATTGCGTTGAGCCAGTTTCCTCACGAGCGTATCGATCGACTTTGAGCCAAACGTAGTGAAGGCGGGAAAATGGGGTTGAGCAACCCCCTGCTGTCCTGATTGTCAGCCACGGCTCTTCTTCGTTTATGAGGCTAAAAGAATTTTCTATGGTCAGTCTGCCCTTGAGTGGATGAAAATGAAAATCACTTACGGGATGAGCGATTGTGAATTACTGGCGGCGGCCTGCTCTGGGGAGGGATTGCCATGGTCAGTCGAGCGTTGATCGACATCACAATCTTGACGGTCTAGAGAATGGAATATTAGCAAGGGATGACGGTGGAGGAGAATAAATTGAGCTCACACGTGTAAACCTCATTCATGATTTTTTCCAATAAAAGCTCATCGTCGACGTCTTCATGTTGATCCTGTTCATCCTCGCTGTCTTGTATAATATATTCTTCTTGAAATTCATCCGTACTGAGATTTTCATCTTCAGAGTCGTCAGGATGAGGGGGAGCTTCTTCAGCAAATTCTGTGTTCGAGGCATCGGCGTTGGTTTCCAGGGGCTTTGTGGCCTCATACCACTTAAAAGTGTTCAATTTAGCATACTTTTGACGTACAATGTGGATCATGACGCTGCGTAGGCAATGCTGGAGGGCTGAGCACGTTGATTTGACGGAGCTCGCAGGGGCATACATTTCTTGTGGCCGAACGCCGAGCAAGAAAAGGACTTGATCGGTGGGGCATGCAAGGGCGTCGCTGGGCGACAGATCCCCTGGTTTCAACAGTGTTACGCAGAATTTATGGACGACATCTGGCAGTTCAGGGTCTGGGAGTCCCCGCGCTTTGATAATGGCGGTATAAAGGTTAAGAGCACCTTCAAGCTGGTTCCCTGCCAGCAGCAGTGAGATGGCGCCTGCACCAGATCCACGGTGAATGTTCTGGTGCAGTAGCCTCATTGATAGTGCAATGGTACGGCTTAACGCTCTGGAGTATTCTCGGTATTTGCCTGTTGTCAATGTCCTAAAGTGCCCGCGTTCACTCCTTAGGACAAACGCGTGCAGCTATTAGCCTATGTAACCAGTCAAAAGTACAAAAACTCACTTATATGTGATTGCATCCCGTACACCTTCGTGACAGGTTGCTAGAAACTGTTCGGCGTTGACAAGATATTCAAAACAAAATTCAAAGATTTGATGAAGGCCGCTTTCCAGCCATTTTCGACCCCCCCTCCCGATGCTTTTTTTGCTTGGAATGGCAGTCAAAGCCCACAAGGAACCAAAGCTTGGATTCCCACATGCTTCTCGATAAGCGAACCATCCGATGGTTTTCATCCAAGGTGCCTGAGTTTGAGCCAGAGCCGCTGCTTCCTGATAATGGGCTGGAGGATCAGCAGCGATGGCAGGTTCGATGGGTTCAGTCATTTGGGTTACGCCTGGAGGGGACCAGTCAGGAGGTAGGCGAAAGACGTGGTAGACCTTTGGGCGCAGCATCAACATCTGGGTCCAGAGAGGAGATTTTGCAACACCAGGGAAGTCTCGTATGCTCTGCCCATGTTTAGTTTGAATATGTTTTGACAATTGATGATGATAACTCATTGTTTTGCCGTAGCTGACAGTGGCCCAATCGCCACAGTTTGAAACTGGACACGGAAAACGTCCTGCAATTGAGGGACGAACGCCGTCGTATGGAAGGATCACGGTAATTGGTTGTGATATGCTGCTGGGGAGATTTAGGTCACTTGTTGAAGAAATGAGGCCAAAGCTCTCCGCAACGTGCTGGATCATCGGCAGGATGTGGCGTTTTTCACGGGCTTGACCGCTGAGATCGGTGTGGCTCTGCTGAACATGGGAAAGCCAAAGGTCAGGGGTGACTCCGCGGTTGTGGGTGGGGCATATAACGAGCTCCAGTTCTGAGTGATAATAAAACCCATAGAATGTTAGGACCTGGCAGCGTTTGTGAGATCGAGATGGCACGCTGGCACAATCGCAGCAGTGGTTGTCAAGGAAAACGAAGCCGGTTCGCATTTTGCCAGGAAGGCGAACAGTGTTGAGAGGAGGAATGACAGCGCGAGCAACCAGGCGTTCCCGATGGGGCGCACGGGGAGGCGGGTTTGCTGCTTGCTGCGTTCGTTTCGTCGACTGAGACTCATATTTCTTCCTGTCGGTTTTACGTTTCTTTTTAGATAGCGGCAGGTGGGTTGACTCTCCAACTTTTCTCTTTGTCGGGAGGTTGTATTCCTCTTCGTCCGAATCGGAATCATCTTCGTCACTGTCCGAGTCGCCGCGATAGTCCAAATCAGATCCAGGTGAAGACCTGTCTTCTCCTAATGCTCCATCTCGTATTCCTTTCGTGCGTTCGCTGACAACTTTCTGGCGAGGGCGAAGTTTTCTGCCATCAGTACGTGCTGGAGCACGCCGTGGAGGCGGGAGCACGACTCCGTCGAATAAAAGTACTGTTCGAACACCGTTTCCTGGTACCAATTAATATCAGATATAATTGAGAGCTTGATTACTTACCCCGGGACTGCGTAGTAGTACTCTGTGAGACCCGCGGTCGCACTTTGATTGTGTCTTCAATGATAATATTTAGTTAGGGATGGAGTGCTTTTGGGCGAAAACAAACCAATTCCATCTTCTTTGGCGAGCTCCTCAGGCATTGCGGATTGGGAAAAATGAACGGGAATACGGAGCAATCGGTGGCCAACAACTAGCAAACAAAATTGATGACCATGGATGACCCTGACAGGCCGTACTGTGCTTTAGGTTCAGTTTTTGGATTGAACACATTAAATGACATGAAGATACGTTAGATATACTGCCAGCTAATACATAAAACTATGAAATGTGACGAATCAATATTCAGTGAGGTCAATAATTGAGAAAGTCTCCGTCTCTCCACTTGGACCATCAGTAACAGCGGTATCCCTGTGGCAATAGTGTTGTCAGAGGTTGAAAGAGAATGTAAGTCAACAACAAACGCAACGCGAGAGAATAACTCCGCCGTAATTTCGTGGTACCCAGTTGGGCTGTCTTCCTTCGTTTGCCGAAGCGTTGTTGCAGGGTGGAGATAGATGGCAATAAAGGTATTGCCTTCAAACTTGACTCTACTCTTTTTTCCATTCCGCCATTCATAAAGAGCGACTTACACCTAGTACGTGACGTGAATTCGGGCAAGTAGCGATGAGATATAAAGGAAACTTACAGCCGTTGCGATGAGGGCTACCGTTGCTATTGGTAGCTCCTTTCGGTCATCCTTTCTGACACTGGACTTAAAGTCATCCAAGTACTGGTAGCGATTGGATGATGTGTTTCGGAAGAAAGCCGCAGTTAGGGTATCGATAATGGTGGAATTCAGGTTTTTTTTTGGCATCCCAAGTCTAGAGAGGGGTTAGCGTGTTTGCTTAAGGAAATATGAATATGCACCAGTCCGTTTTCACCAGTCCAGGCGCCCGGGAAAATGTATTGATGAAACTTGAACAGAACGGCAACGCGAGCTTCACATTTTGCACTTTTTCCAAGCTCATAGCTCGCAATCTCGGATGTTGCCATAGATTTTGCTGGGCCATGTATATCAGATAAACGATTCATGAACTACAATGAGTACCAACATACACATGAAAGTTGAAGGTGGATTCGACGTACCGCATGGCTTAATAGCCTTGTGAATGCAATGTCATCCTGAATCCGCTTCTTCAGGTCCTTTAACTCGGGGTGCGTCCTTATGGCCTGAAGAAGAACATCAACCCGAAAGGCAAGCTTACTCTTTGCCTTTTGCTCGGGCCAAGCGTTGTTGAGTGGTTACGTTCTCGATCGTGCGATGAAGGACCTTCTGGATTGTGTAGTGTTGATCGAGAAGGTTAGGGGTCTTCCCCGATGCAGGAAGCGCTGCTTTGGCGTGGGGCGGCCACCTCTTATTCGCTGCTAAATGACGCCGGGGTCAGCGTCAGACGGCCTACCTTGTGACATCGTCTCCGACAGAGGTTCTCTCTTCATCTCGAAATTCTGGACGGCACTCTGCAAAAGCCTCGGAATCAAACTGAACCTCTCCACGGCGTACCATCCCGAGACCGATGGACAAACAGAACGCCTAAATCAAACCCTGGAGCAATACATACAGATGTTCCCAAATTATCTGCAAGACGATTGGAAACGCCAGCTCCCCATCGCCGAATTCACCTACAACAACACGCCTCACTCAGCTACGGGAGTCTCACCATTCTTCGCGAATAAAGGATTCCACCCCCGACTATCTATCTCCTTCGACAACATTCCATCGCACGGAGCGAAACTCGTCGCCGCGGACTTGAGAGACTTACACAACCATTTGAAACAAGAAATCAAGACTGCGAACGAAGCCTACCAAAAGTTCGCTAATACCAAACGCGACCCAACTCCGGATTGGCCCATCGGAACTACGGTGTGGTTACGAATGGAGAACATAAAAACCAAACGGCCATCTGCAAAGCTCGACCACCGGATGTTAGGACCATTCAAAGTTATCCAGAAAGTGTCCACCCATGCCTACAAACTCGCCTTACCCCCGTCTATGAATCGACTTCACAATGTTTTCCACGTCAAATTACTGGAATGCCACCACAAGGAATATTTTCCACGCCGGAAGAACCCGCCTCCCCCGCCTATTGAAATCGACGGAGAAGAACAGTATGAAGTAGAAGACATCCTCGACTCCCGCATCCACAGAGGAAAATTACAATATCGCGTTCGTTGGGTAGGACACGGACCACAGGACGACACTTGGGAACCCCCGGAACATGTTACCAACTCCGAGCTTCTAGTCCGTCAGTTCCACGCCGCGTACCCTACAAAACCAAGTCCGACGAGAACAACTGCGACCACCTCTTAACAAGACAACACTACATTCAGCAAAATAACATTATCGACAGCAAAAAAGCAACAAGAAAACTAAAGAACAAGAAAAGGAAGAAAAAGGAAAAGATAAAACAACGACCTCTACACTACGAAAACTCTGAACCATGGCGCCGCTTGCGCCTCTCCTCCGAACCTTCCCCAACATCCTCGGCGATCCGTTTCCCTGTTCTCACCTCCCCACCCTGCTGCAAACGCCCCAAACAACTCTCCAACTTCTCCACCGCCGAAAATAACTCCCCTACTTCAGGAAGCAACAACCCCCTCGTTAATACCCCCCCCACCTTCTTCTCAATCGACTTCAGGTAATCCTGTATTCTATTGGGATCACGAGACATCGCCTCCAGCAAGGTCCAAACGCTGGAATTCACAGTTTGAAAGGCCTCTACGTGACCCCGCAATTCGGCGTTCTGTTCGCAAGTCGACCGGAGCAAGGGCAGTATGGCTAAAAGAAGACTTAGCTTGCGGCAGATAAATCGAACGATTCGAGGACTCACCAGCGACTTCCTCCACCAGAAACCCCCCTCCAACACGAGATGACCCTTCTTCAACTCCTCCGGATCCGGACCTCTCCAACGCTGCTTCCAACTCCGCAATACGCCTCTGAAGCGCGACACGGACCGACTCGAACTCGAGCATCTGCTCCTTCCACTCCTCTCCACGAGCCTCCATTTCTTGCTCAATCTCCTTTCCCTTGTCCGCCAACTCCGCTCTACGAAGTTCTCGTTCCTTCTCATCGGCGATCATCCTCTCCATCAGTGCCGCCCTACGACCCTCCGACTCCCTCAAACGCTCATACTCCTCCCTCTGCCTCTGAAATTCCAACCTCTCTGCCTCAAACTGCCTTGCCTCCACTCGCAACTCCTCCACCTCTCGCATAACGAGCGCCAACTTCTCCAACTCCTCTCCCCGCTGCACAAACTGCGCGCGATCCGCTCCAAAAACCTTCACCTCCGCAGTTAATCTCTCCACCTCCTTCTGCGCCGCCACGTATTCGCTCTTGTAAAACCGTCGCCGAGCTATAAGATGCTCCGAGTTGACTTGCTCCGCGGCAAGCTCGGACTCCAATGCCTGAATCCTGCTTCTCAGGACCAACGCCGAGTAAACGGGACCTCGGGACGACTGCGCCAGTAGAAGTGTTGTGCTCCGAGAAGTTCCAGGAATTTTCACCTTCAGCGAACTTGGGCGCTCCTCACCTAAGCCTACATCCCCTGTCTCCTCCTCGTCATCATCCTCCTCGTCGTCATCTTCATCCTCCTCCGTACCCTTTACCTTCCCTTTCCCCTTATCCATTTTCTTCGGTGTCCCTTCCTCGTCCTCTCCATCCTCCTCATCTTCATCGTCATCCTCGTTACCTGCCGCAGCGTGTGCTTTCCTTCCCACCTTCTTCGGCGACTCCTCAACCACTTCCCCGTCCTCCTCATCTTCACGAGTCCGACTCCTCCGATTCGACGCCGCCTTATTGTCCCCCTTTCCCTCAAAAACCACATACTTATTGTCCTTCCTCTTCATGATAACAGGGTACCATGTCATGAAATCGTCCTTCGCCACGGTGTACCCCAACGTTTGCCAGACACCCCGGAACTTCTCGTACATGTACAACACGCCTCGGTTGCACTTCACTTTCGACGCGCCGCAAGTTGCGCACCCAATCTTGTCGGTCCGCGTTCCTCCCACCTTGGGCTGGCATGAAACACCTCTCGTAATACAGACGCTACATTTCTGCGTAAACGCATTAGGAATCAGATTGGTCGCCAAAGAATACCGCTCACCACGTTCAACGTAAACGCCTCAGGAGTCTTTGCTTTTCCTAGCCGCTCTGTCTCCTCCGCGCAGGTGGAAAAAATAACCTTCACCAATTCCGCAGGCCACACCTCCTTGCCCTCCTCGGTAACAGCGCGACACGACTTGACGTGTGCTTTCTTGACCATCGCGTCCACGCGGGCTCGTTGCTGTCTTTGAGTAAATTGAAGTAGGCGTTCTGCCTCCGTTGCACGCTGCGTACGTTCGAATTCGTTGTAGAGGATGAGCTCGCGTTCGAGCTCGTTGCTCATGCAGATGGGAGAAAGAAGAGAAGTTTAACAAAAAGCCTAATTGCAACCACGGTCACGTCCTCTTGGGAAATCGGACTAAAAGGGGGGGTACTGTCACGAACCATCCTCGTAACCCTCAACGTCACCTGACCCACTTGCATCATCTCACTTCTCGGACTACAACGCCGAACCAACACCGACCCTCGTATTCCAGCAACCTCTCGCCAAACACGTGTATCCAACTCCGAGCATGACAACCCCGAATAGAACAAGCGCCTATTGTTCTTCGCCTCGCCAAGTCTCCTGTTCTCCGCCTTGGCAACCCTCTTCACAATAGTTCCCAACTCCGATCCACACCTCCTCGCTTATCCTCTCCGTCTCCGCGATACTTCCTCATGGCTCTTGTTCCCTTTATTGTTCTACCTCGTACCAAGATTACCGACCCCTTCTCCTTTCTTTACAGACCCTATCCCCTACGACTCGTATAAATACTCCTTGCATGTAACAAGTACCTTCATCCTTGATATTAAAGTTAACATCTGCCTTATTCCTTCGTCCTCTCGTCTCAGTCTCTCATCTGCGTTCCATTACTAACTTGCCTCGGACTTCAACTCCGACGCCGAATCCACCTTACACTGAGTTATCGCGTAACTCCACTACACTAACATTTCACTTAGTGTTCTATTCACTTCGCGTATTCTCGAGTCTCCAACTCCGAGCCTACGCTACCCTCATCGCCGACAGACTTAACTCCGTACCCTTTCAGTTCGGAGCTCAACTCCGTGCCTTCCAGCTTCTCGGACTTAGCTCCGTACACTCACGCTCTCGGACCTAACTCCGCACAAACGATTCTAATACCGATCCCTTTCCTTCCAGTCTAGTAACTACCGGCGGTATCTACGTCGACTTCTTCCTAGTCTCTTGCCCTATCTAAGGAATAGGACGGATCCTAACAGCGAGGACAATAAGGTGTAACAATATGATCGTGAAGTTGTGATTAAGAAACTTGGGGATGGTCAGTTCGGCGTGAACTTTTTTTGGTGTTGTATCTGCATTGGGTTGTATGTACCTATGGTATAAAGTGGCGCCGCCATTAACTGCCATGTCATCTAACTCTTCAGCATCTAAATCATACTGTTGTGGAAATTAAACACGTCAGCGCAGAATGTGGCCCAAGTCTGTTCATCTTCCGATTTCAATTTTCGGTACTTGCCAAGGAGCTCCATTCTCAAATCCTCATACAGGAGCAGATCCCCACTATCCATCACCGATGGATTCGTGGCTCCAGTGAAGGACCAGCGCTGTAGCTCTTGGATAATCTACAGAGAAAATAAGGATCTCCAGGTATGGTTTCTGCATCTCAAGACTTACTATGACGGCAGCATCTGCAACGTCATCTAGAGTTGGTTTATTTTGAGCCGAATTCCGGCACAAAGAACTGGTGACCTTTTGGAGAACAGGATCTCCCAGTATCGCATCGGCCTAAATCGTAGGTCAGCGTTACTGAGTTAGAGCTAATCTGACAATATGAGTACCTGAGAGCCATAAACAAATGGCAAAGATTGTAAAACGGACTGTGCATTTTCTGCAGAGCGAATTTTATATTGCCCTGGTACCAGATACCTAGCCACCCCAAGAGCGGCTTGTAGACCATTAAGCGTAGCAGCCAGTGGAGATTCTGCCACGGTATTCTTCCAAGAATCATTCACTGGTCCTAAATGGAGGAGTGCATGCCATATTTCACTGAGGGCAAGATGCCGGATGGGCTGATGGAGGCGCAGGTGCTTGATAGGTGGAAAATGTGAGACCCAACCGTAATGAGCCAGCGAAGTGTGGCACACATGCTGAGCCTGTTGATCGACAGGAGATTGTTCATCCGCGACAGAAAGAGCTGGGAGATATTTTGAAAACAACTGGGATTCTATGCGCTGAATCAGCGTGGGTGTCAAAACAACTCCCAGCCATTTATTGGTTGCCGACTGAATTAAGCCTGACACTCGGCTTCCAGACCATATCCAAGGGTTAGCTCCTTCGCAAGGGCGGGGACGTTGGACATGTGCCCAGATATTTGATGAATAGTATGGGACTTCTTGCCCCAAATGACCTAGAAGCTCAATTGCAATGGGGCGGATGACATAGAGATACAGAGCCAGGTGTTTCGTCACTTCACGAGGGAGGGCAAAGAGACGGGTGCATGTGCTCTTCCACCCAAAGCTCTTCACGGGATCGTTGATAACTATGAGGCCATTCTTCAACATCCATACATTTCGGTTGGAGTGGCCCTCCGGGCTGAAGCAAATTTGGCCATATTTGAACTCCTGTAGCCCAATTCCACATGAAAAGGCCAGAACCTTGGCAAGGCTGGGGAGGACAGACGTTTGCTCCTTATTAAACCATTTCCTCGCTGCGAGAGACGAAACTCCAAGGCTATTAAATATGCCGTGGCGTTTTTCTCCTGTCTTAAACAGGGCTTCCCGAACTGTGGCTGTCCATGTACCGAGTGAAATGGCATTGGCGGCTTGTTTATGAGGAGCATCAGATGAAAGAAGATTATCGGATAACTTTTCCAAAGGGAACGTGGAGGCGCAGATGCTATCCGGAAGGAGCTGTTCAACTGAGTCCCGGAATTCAACAATTGAATTTTGAGCAGCTTTAGCCCAGCACCGCAGCCTGATGGTTTTGGGAAGAGACGTCGCGTCGCCCGCATGTGATACTTTGATGGTACCATCCATTATTGATACATTTAGTTGGGCCCCGACTGGTTCATTTTTGGCACCAGCTGCGGCGACCATCCAGATATGGGTGTTTCGGCCAAATGGTGAGATAAAATCCAGTCTTTGTTCTTGAGAAATGTACTTTTGGTATTTCTGAAATGCGCTGCATAGTACTGTCAGAAGGTCCACTTATTATCCAATTGAGCGTGAACGAACTTGGAAAGTCGAACAGTCACTGCGGTATCTTGTAGGACATTAGCTGCAAGTTGCGCAAGCCCAAACATGTTCGCTGAACAATGGGCAAGTTAATAGTTGCCCGATGCCATGCGATCATTTCAGTCACCTTTGTCCAAAATAATCTGAAGCATTTCATCATCTTCTTCCTCAGCATCGTCTTGGCTATCTTCTTCGTCTTCTTCATCTTCTTCGTCATCTTCGTCTTCTTCG